GGATCTCATCGCCCCATTGAGTTTCTCCTGGGAAGGCTGGGGAGGCAGGAGATTCTATGTCTTCCTGGACTCCAGGCTGGTGGAGGAAGACTCTTCTCCGTGCAGCGGCCAGTGGTAGTGACCTAAGCACTCCTCTGGGGCAGGGTCTGTCCCCGTCACCTATTCAGCCCAGCCTCTGGCACAGGGCTGAGCACTGTAGGAACAGATTGCTCAATCTCCCCACGCCTAGAAACCGAGTCACTGCTGCTCCTGGAAGGATGAGACCAGCAGGGAAGTGGGAACCTGAACTGGGTTTTTTTGTTTGTTTGTTTGTTTTTTGCAGGGGTGGGGGGTGTGCGGTGGGGACAGGGTCTCACTCTGTTGCCCAGACTGGAGTGCAATGGCGCGACCTCAGCTCACTGCAACCTCTGCCTCCTGGGTTCAAGCGATTCTCCTGCCTCACCCTCCCGAGTAGCTGGAATTACAGGCTCGCACCACTATCACCCAGCTAATTTTTGTATTTTTAGTAGAGACAGGGTTTCACCATGTTGGCCAGGCTGGTCTTGAACTCCTGACCTCAAATGATCCACCCACCTCGGCCTCCCAAAGTGCTGGGATTAAAGGTGTGAGCCAGCACGACTGACCTGAACTGGGTTTTATATGATATTAAGAAATTGTTGTACCATGGAATACTATGCAGCCATAAAAAGAATGAAATCATGTCCTTTGGAGCAATATAGATAGAGCTAGAGGCCATAATCCCAAGCAATCCAATGCAAGAACAGAAAACCAAATACCACATGTTCTCACTTAGAAGTGGGAGCTAAATATTAAATACACATGATCATGAAGATGGGAACAGTAGACACTGGGGATCACTGGACTGGGAAGGGAGGGAGGGAGTGTGAGCTGAAGAATCACCTGTTGGGTACTATGCTTATGGTCTGGGTGACAGGATCCCTGGGACCCCAAGCCTCAGTGTCATGCAATTTGCCCATGTAACAAATCTGCAGGTGTACCCTTTATAATAAAAGTTGATTTTTTTTTTTTTCCCTGAGACGAAGTCTCGCTGTTTCACCCAGGCTGAAGTGCAGTGGCATGATCTCAGCTCACTGCAACTTCCACCTCCTGGGTTCAAGCAATTCTCCTGCCTCAGCCTCCCGAGTAGCTGGGATTACAGGCATGCGCCACCATGCCCAGCTAATTTTTGTGTTTTTTTTGTTTGTTTGTTTGTTTAGTAGAGATGGGTTTTCACTATGTTGGCCAGGCTGGTCTTGAACTCCTGACCTCAAGTAATCCACACTCCCTCAGTCTCCCAAAGTGCTGGGATTACAGGTGTGAGCCACCGCACATGGCCAAAGTTGAAATTTTTAAAAAAAGAAATTGTTAACTTTATTAACAATTGCTAAGACTTGGCATTATAGTTACGTTAAAAAAAAAAAAAAGAATTCCTCATTCTGTTGGACATAAAAACTAAAGTATTTATGGATAAAATAATATAGTGTCTAGCACTGTTATAAAATACCCAAATTTTTTTTTTAAAGTGGGCTAAGAAGTAAAGAGGGGCCAGTCGTGGTGGCTTACACCTGTAATCCCAGCATTTGGGGAGGCCAAGGCAGGAGGATTGCTTAGGTCCAGGAATTCAAGACCAACCAGGGCAACATATGGAGACCTCATCTCTACAGAAAATTTAAAAAGCATGGAGGCACACCTTAGTCCCAGTTACTAGGGAGGCTGAAGTAGGAGGATCGCTTGAGCCCAGAAGGTCAGTGCTGCCATGAGCCATGATCATGCCACTGCACTCCAGTCTGGGCAACAGAGTGAGTCTCAAAAAGAAAAAAGAAATAAAAAGAAATAAAAAAGATAAGATGGCGATTAGCCTTGAAGCTGAGCAATGGGCTCACAGGGCCATGATAGTCCCTTCTTCTTATTTTGTGTGTTTCAATTTTTCATGGTTTTAGCTACAAGTGGAGACAGGTAAGCATGTGTTCCCAAAGCACCAACCCCGTGGGGTGGTTGGAGCAGAGCAGTTGAGACCTCACTCATTCCCACCCTGGCAGTCGATGGGATCAGGGATCCCTTGGAAGTTGAGGGATAAGAGCACAGGCCTAGGGGGCATGAGCCTGTGGCAAGTCACTCAGCAGGTCGGGAGCCTCGGGCCTCCAGCTCAGGCCATGGAGCCCCAGTTTATCCAAGAGAGAACTCCCCACTGTCTAATCCTCACATCCAGTCACTGGTCCTGTTTATTCTCACTCCAAAATCTCTCTCAGATCTGCCTACCTTGCCCCATTCCCTCTGCCCACACCCCCCTCCTTCAAGCTGCCATCATCTCTTGCCCTGCCCACTCCAGTAGCCCTGGCTGGAGGCCAGGCCACCCTTTTGTCTCCATCAGTTCTCCCGGCACTGCCCACTCTGCGCTAGTCCATCCCAGGCCCTCATTTACAGGCGGGAACACTTAAAAATGGACACTTGGCCGGTTGCGAACTTGGGGCTCAGGAGGCTGATGAGAGGCCCAGACCAGGCCCCCTTCTCGGACTCCCAGGTTGGGACATCGACACAGAGAGCTGTGTCTAGGGATGGGTCCGCCTGGGCAACCAGCTCTCCAAGAGCAGAGTTTAAGCTGCAGACCTGCCGGGATGCAGCAGACGTGGCTGGCTGGCTTCCAGAAAGGTCAGGCTGGCTGTTGATGGCTGACCTCACCGTCCTGACCAACTGGAGAGGTTACCGTGGCCACAGCTGCCACTGTAGATAAGGTTGCCTGGGGACCGCAGTAGCCCCATATCTGGCTCCTGTGTCACTCAAGCTTGGCCTGTGAGCGGGCCCAGAGCAGGCCTCACCCGGCCCACTGAGGATGGCAATGGTGTCCTCGGGGCCTCATATCTTCTAGGGTTCCAGAGCTGGGGATGGAACTGGGCCCTGGACAGCAGGATGGCAGGAAACAATGCCACCCACCCCCTCCAAAGCCTCCCAAATTAATGACCACAGCAAGAGGGAGAGCAATGAGAACTGTAAAGAACTGAGGAAGCGGCAGCTAGCCCAAGTCTGCGTGATTGGAGAGGCATCCCTGTTGGTTCCTTCCATCTCCAGGCGGATGCTTAATGAAGAAAACGGCTTTTTGGTGCCTCCCAGCAGCCACACACAGCCTGGGCAGGCCCCACAGAGCAGCGAAGGCCCAGAGACTTGACTTTCCCAGGCCCCTCCCACCTAGAGCGGGGCCCACGAGGCAGCTTCTCAGTCACGAATCAGCCTGTGAGGCTGGCTCTGCGCCTGGGCCTCCTGCCAGGGGCGTGAGGAAGGGAGCGCTGGGTTCAGACACTGTCCCTGCCGCCTCTGGCTCAGGGCTCACTGCCTGTGGCCCTGCCTCTTCGCCACCTCCAAGTCACCTTGGGCCTGGCAGTCCAGCTCGGGGTCCTGTCCTGCCTCCACTCTGGAGCACCTAGCAGCCACTTCACCGAGGCTCAGCTCCTGCGGATGGAGGAGCAGAGGACAGGCTGCTGAGAGGAGAGTGTGGCTGGGGACTGGGGGCAGAGGGGGCTGCCCAGGGCTCTGAGCAGGCAGCTGTGGCCACCTAGGAATGACTCCTGATGTCGATGGATGACTTGGGGATAGAGTCTGGGGTCTGGAGGCCCTGCAGCCAGCTCAGCCTGTCCAGGAACAGTCCAGCTGAGCTCTGGCAGCCCAGGCCAAGGACAGAACCTCCCTGCCTGGTTCCCTCCCAGGCTCTCCCAGAGACCACCCACGTGGGCCCTATCAGCTGGGATCATTCTCCAGCCCTCTGGCTCAGCTCACAAACCCACTGGCTCCGAGCTGCCCAGGCCTCCCTCCCTGGAACGGCTAAGTCCCAACAGCTGACCCTGGCAGGCATCTGGGCCACAGGGAGAGATGGGGGAGAGTGGCTTCAAGTGGAGGAGGGTGGCACCGCCCTGGACTGGCCTTTGACCCTGAAGACACAGGCTTCTGAGTGGGGCCCAGGCCTGAACAGCAGGGAGTGAGGGTGGGTATCGGACTATCACCTAGCACCAGCTTTGTTCTGGTCTGGCTTTGATCTTCCCCGCCAGGCCCTGGGCTCTGGCCCCATCGAACAGTTTGCTGCCCTCACACAAGCACCATGCCTCCTTCCCATGAAACTGGGCTCAGGATGGTCCATCTCTTGGGAGTGCCTGTGCCTCCCCCTGCCAGTCTAGTTCCTGCCTGCCCTCAAGGTTCAGGCCCTTCTCAGGGCCCTGGCTCCCAGCATCTCATGCTCTGCATCACGTCTTTCTGGAATGTGCATCCTTCTGCCTCAGGTCTGAGGCATAGTGCACACCATGGACCACAGGTCCTGCAGCCTGAGCATCCCAGAGTCCACTCCCAGCTCCGCCACTTCCTAGCTGGGTGATCTTGGGCAGGAAACTATAGAATGGGAAAAATAATAGCCACTTCCCAGGTTGTTTTCTTGTTGTTTTATTGTTTTGTTTTGTTTTGTTTTTGAGATGGAGTCTCACTCTGTCGCCCAGGCTGGAGTGCAGTGGTGCGCTCTTGGCTCACTGCAACCTCCACCTCCCGAGTTCAATCGATTCCCCTGCCTCAGCCTCCCAAGTAGCTGGGACTACAGGCACGTGCCACCACACCCAGGTAATTTTCGGTATTTTAGTAGAGATGGAGTTTCACCATGTTGGCTAGGATGGTCTCAATCTCCTGACCTCGTGATCCGACTGACTTGGCCTCCCAAAGTGCTGGGATTACAGCGTGAGCCACCGTGCCCAGCTTTTTTTTTTCTTTTCTTTTCTTTTTTTTTTCTTTTTTTTTGAGACAGAGTTTCGCTCTTGGTGTGATCTCGGCTCACTGCAACCTCTGTCTTCCGGGTTCAAGGGATTCTCCTGCCTCATCTTCAAGAGTAGTTGGAATTACAGGCGCCAGCCACCACACCTAACTAATTTTTGTATTTTTAGTAGAAACGGGGTTTCACCATGTTGGCCAGGCTGGTTTTGAACTCCTGACCTCAAGTGATCCGCCTACCTCAGCCTCCCAAAGTGCTGAGATTACAGGCATGAGCCACCGCACCTGGCCCACAGGTTGATTTTTAACAAGGATTAAATGAGACACCTGTGGGACCTGCTTCGGCTGGCGCTCGGGATGTGCAGTGGTTATTCCGCACCGTGGTGATGGTGGCAGTGGTCATTGTTCCTATGGTGAGTCCTGAAAACAGCGTTGGTTTCCTGAAGACAGGAACATGTCTTCTGTCTGTCTTCTCTGCCCTCCTGCCCACTCCTACTTCCCCCTCCGTGCCCTGCAGAGGCAGCCTACTGGGCATGGGCCGAGAGCCCGTGAGAACCTGGTGCAGGTGGAAGGAAAGGGGACCCCACGGGGAAGGCAGAAGGGCCAGGGCTTTCCCCAGCAGTGGCCGAATCTGAACGGAGATGACTCTGTGTTGCTGTGGCCACTCCAGACCCCAGACCACAGCCTGATAGCCAAGCTCCCGAGGGAGCAGAAGGCACCAGCCGCCTCAGAGAGGAGGCGCGGCCCAGTCAGGGCCCCACGTTGTCATGGGTCCAGCTGTCCTCAGGAGGGAAACTGTCTCGCGAGCCTGGAGACTTCCGGTTGCTTCTCAGAGGAAAGGTAGCATCTCCCTTCCTTTCTGGGAAACAAACATTCCTGAATACCAACTGTGTGCCAGGCCCATTGCTAGCTGCAACCTTGGGCGGGTCCCAAACCTCTCTGAGCCTTGGGCCTGTCATCTGGAAACAGCACTCTATAAAAGACAGACTTCAAAGGGCTGTGAGGACGGTCAAAGAGACCATAAAGCACAGAGCCTGGGCAGGGGTGGGTATTCAGGAGAGGTGGTGGCCCCTTCCCCTGTGCCCGCCCCTGGGAAACCCTATCCCCCACCTGGCTGGCAGCACAGGAGACTCGGAGAAGGGACGACCCGGTCTGGGGAAGGGGCGGTTTCCCCAGGCTGAGCTGCCACTGTCTTCCTTCCCTGTGTGGGTGGTGGCTCCGGGCCTGGTGGTCTGCCACAAAGGCCCAGAAGGTCCACGCTTTCTGGTGGCTGGGAGTGGCAGTCGGGGGCTTCAGGACAAGCCTCTGGCTGCTGTGGCCCCTACCCTTCCTCTGCACCTTGGAAGCACCAACCCCCGGGCTGTCTGAGTCTATGCTAACGAAGTAGGAGCCAGAAACCCTCCTTCAGACACAGGTCACTGTGAGCCTTGGCTAAGCCTGGGGACCTCTTCTCAGCCTGGCTACGGCCCAGATGCCCACCCTGAACCTTCCACGAGCCAGGGCAGGCACCATTTCCCCAGGACCAGCTGAGCAGTAAAGTCTCTTCTGGTTTATCTGGAGGAAGGAAAATGACGTCATGAGGTAAACCGCACAGCCTGAAACCACGAGGCTGGGCGCCCCAGTGATGTTTGCTTTTCAGCAAAAGTCACCATGTGCACAGAGGGGCAGGCAGCCTGGGCCATTGTGGTCAGAGGGTCGGGGGGGAAGACAGAGGGAGATTTTTAACACGGAACCACAAGGAAGGAGAGGCCCTGGAGAGATGGACGTCAGAGGCCAGAGGGCGGCTTCCTGGGGTGCTGTGGGAGACTTGTCACCTGCTGGGCGGGGTGGTCTCTGCTGGCATCTCACAAGGTCTCGGGCTTGGCACCTGAGGCACGCAAAGTCACATTTGCTATAGCGGGCATAATAATAGTGGCAAGAATAATATCGATAACGCATCCTGACCACGTGTCTCTGTAGCCTTGTCGCCTCCTCAACACCATCCCATAAGATGGGACCCTGTGAGGCAGACGCAGCCTGCACACAGAGGAGGGTGGGGAGGCTGGGGCTCCGGCCTGTGCTTTCGCCTCCAGACCATGGAGCTTCTTCGCCCACGTGCTGGGTACCGTCCAGCCTGAGGCCTGTATGCAGGGTCCCTGTTTCAAGCCCTGATTCCTGCCTGCTACCTTCCACCCAGGAAGCCCCCTCCCCTCTGCAGCCCTCAGTTTCTTCACCTGTCAAACGCCCTGCCTTTGAGGTAAGAGATTACATAAGGTAAAGCTTATTCTTCAATATTGTTCTCTTACTCTGTCAATGCTTTGAGCAGGATTCCGTGGAGAAACTGGCCCTAACGGGTGGGCCCAAACATTGGTCTTGATGGGCTGGCTAAGGAGGGAGCTCTGTCTCATGGGAGTGGATGGGAATGGCAGGCGGGTGGGTGGCACCTTCTGTGGAGTGGGGGCCAGTGGGCAGCTTAAACAAGGGCAGAGAGAGCTGTCTAGGGAGGTCTGATGCGGCCTCACTTTTCTCAGGAATCTCGGGGCCTCCAGGCCCGCACTCTAGGGCTGCATGAGTTTGAGGGGCTCCTAAAGGAAGTCCCCTGTGTGTCTGGGTGTGCCTGGGTGGCAGTGTAGGGGCAGGTGTGGTGCCCACACTGTCCATATGTCCTTACGCGACCCAAGCCCCAGGCCCTCTGCCTCAGGGTGGGGCCGCAGCTCAGCTTTGATGCCCCTGAGGGCCTGCCGGCTGGGACTGCTGTTTCAGGCAGGAGGTGGGAGGACGCAATGCAGGCAGGGTTGCCCAACCAAAACACCCCCGGCCCAATTCCTCCCACAGGCCTCCTGAAACCCGCAGTTCCTCACTGGAGTCACAGCTTTTTGGACGATGGCTCCCCCTTTTCAGTTCTTTTTCCTTATAACACAAAGACACCATTAGAGGCTGTACTCCATTCACACTTCCCAAATGTTAGAAGGCAGAAGGTCTTCCAGACCCCCACCGCCAGGCCTGTGTTTTACAGAGGAGGAGGCTGAAATGACTGGTCCAAGACCACACAGCGGGGAGCAGGTGGCAGCATGGGAAGCTTGATCTCTCGCTGTGGGGTTTTCTCTCGCCTGTCTCTGCCATTATCATCCTAGTACGGACCCATCAGATCCTTTTTCAAGACACCACTGGCTACAAGCAGAGGGCAAGCCTGGGGCTGAGAAGCACTGTGGGGAGGAGCAGTGGAGCTGGGAGAGGGTCACAGGAGTCAGGGGCCAGGGAAAGTTGCCAAAAAGAGAGACAGCCCCTCCTGCCCCTTTCCCAGGGCTGACTCCGCACCTTATGCATGGGGATTTGTCATCAACAACTGTTTGACCCCAAAGCCATGGTGCCCTGGGTTGGTGTCCCAGTGATGCTTTTCTGACTCGTGGCCCAGGATGACACAAAGCCCCAGGGGACAAGCCAGAGATCCCACTGGCCCAGCCAGATGCTCCAAGATTCCTTTTGCCTGTAACCCAGACCTGGCCCACCCTCTAGCCTGGTTTCTGGGGCTTTCAGGAAAGAGCAGTGGACAGTGGGAAAGGCTGGCTGTGAGGCAGGGTCAGTCCTGGGGGCCCTGGGAGTGTCTCTTCCCTTCCCCGAGCCTCAGTGTTCTTGTCTGTACAAGGGAAGTTCAGGTCAGATGGTCTCTGGGTTCCTTCCCAGCTCTGAGAACCAGGTTCTACCTCAGCTGTTCTCAGAAAGGACAGGGTGGTCTGGGCTGGGCACAGGCTTGAGGCTTATGCCCCTCTCCTAGCCCCAAGGACTTCCCATCCTTTCAGGTCCTGCTGGGGCTCAGCTGCCCAACTCTGAGTGGAAAGGAGAGCCGTGAGTCAGGCTGGGCAGTGTCATGCTTGTAATCCCAGCACTTTGGGAGGCCAAAGAGGATGGGCTGCTTGAGCCCGGGAGTCCGAGACCAGCCTGGGTAACATGGCAAAACCCTGTCTCTACAAAAAACACACAAATTAGCCAGGTGTGGTGATGTGTGGCTGTAGTCCCAGCTACTCAGGAGGCTGAGGTGGGAGGGTCACTTGAGGCCAGGAGGTCGAGGCTGCCATGAGCTAAGATCATAGCACTGCATTCCGGCCTGGGTAGCAGCAAGACTGTGTCTCTGAGAGAGAGAGAGAGAGAGAGAGAGAGAGAGAGAGAGAGAAAGCCGTGGGTGTCTAAGCTGCAAGGCCTCCCAAATCCCTGAATCCCACTAACCCATCTCCCAAGTGAGCAGAGGGAGGCCAAGAGAGGGCAAGCAGGGCACCAGGCCAGAAGCCAAGCCAGGGACCAGGACCCTTCCTGCTGCATCAGCTGTCTCATGTCTTCCCCGAAGGAACCCTCTCACAGGACAGCTGGACGCAGCCAGGCGGGAAGAACTCTTCACCAGCCCCGTCTCCATCGCCCGGCTGCCATCACTGCCGGCATCGACACTGACCCTCCAGCTCCAGCACCAGGTCACCACCCTGCCCCTCATCCATCCTCTTCCTCCACGCGTGATGAATGAGCGTTTCTCATTCAATCATTCTCAGAGGCAGCACAGCATGGCCAGTAGGAAAGAGGATGCGGGAGCCAGACTGCCTGGCTCCACCACCCACCAGCTGCTTTTATTCCCTGCCTGCTGTAGTTCCCCGGGTCGTAACATGGGGATACAAATAATATTTTCCTCATCAGGTCACCAGGAGGCTTAAATAAGCCCATACTGTAAAGTGCTTACAGGGCCTGCCATATAGTAAGTACCCCATAATTACTGTCATTCATTCATTCATTCATTCATTCATTCATTCATTCATTCATGCATTCTATCCTGCCTGTTTCTGAAAGAGTTGAGATGACTCACGATGGAAATGCAATGATAATAGGACTTTAAAGTCAGGTTAAAAGAACACAAGCCTAGGCTGCAGAGGAGAGGCTGCCCCAGAACCTGGGCCAAGCGAGCCTCCTCCCGGCGTCTCGTCCAACACATAAAGGCTGCTGGTATCGATTCTCCTTTTCTGATAAAAGGAAGCACAACAGCTTTCCAGCAGAATACAAGATGTTTTTCTGGTTCAAACTTTATGAATGACATTAAACAATGCAATGGGTAGCCTCCCCCTCGCCTCACCCTGTCCACCTTTTTAATCAACTCCTGAGAAATGGGGTCTGCTCTTCATCCCATCCCACTCCCCATTTCCAGACCCTGGGGAAACCTGCAGTCCCAGAGAGCCTGACAGCCCCCAGAGCAAAACCTTCAGCTGTCCCAGGAGAAGGACACTCGGGGAGCCAGCCGGAGCTGGCTGCTTTCAGCACCAGGGGACAACTCTAGGAAAAAGCCGAGCCACGGAGTCAAGGAGGGCCTTCCCTACCGCTGCAGACAGCAAGCCCCTTCCAGACGCTTCCCCGCAGCTACAGCAGCAAGCGCCCCTGTGACAGGCCGGGAATGCTCACGGAGAAAACCCAGAGCTGTCTACACTTCCCCTCACCGGCTTCCCCTTCTCTCAGCAGCGGCAGGCGCAGGAAAGGTGAGCAGGGCCCTCCACGCTTAGTCACCCGAAAGATCTGGGGGCCCAGCGGGGAAAGGTCTCATTCCATCTCCTCCAGGACCCTGGGGGAGTAGCATGGTTCTAACTGTGGCCTGAGACCCTCTGCACGGACACAGGTATCACCAGAGAATGGCGCCCTGAGCCCTCACCCCCAGTGTGTGTATGCGTGTGCAGATGCGCACACTTCACCAGGGCGTCGCTGCCTGACTCAGGGGACGATGGGAACCTCCTTCCTGTCCTGCAAGCCTCCGCCTCATCTTTGAAAGACTCACGGAGCCCCCAGTTCTTACCCACCTGTTAGGTGGGAAATTCAAACCTGGGCTCTGAAGGGAGCGGCCCCTCATCCCCTGCCCTTCCCAGACCCTAATCCGGGCCTCCGGGATGTTTCCCCAGCAGCCCGTGGGCTTCCATCCTCAGCTGTGGGCCTTCCAGTGGGTAGGCGCTCATCACTGTAGACAGCACACAGAGGAGCCCGCCCGCTGGGTCCCTGGGGGCACGGCTGCCCCTCTCCCAGTCCCCGTCCCTGTTCCCTGAATCACAGGCAGCAGAGAAGCTGGCTCCACAGCTGGCCTTGCTTGCCCTCTTGGCTGGGGAAATTTCTTTTGGCGGATGGCAGAATGTGACTAGCCAGGACGTGATGACCTGCCACTCAAGGCTGGCTCATACACTGGTCATGAGAACAGTTTGCTGAGAGGGGTTTTTGAGTGTGAGGGAAGTCCCAGCTGGTCTTGGACCCTGTGTATCACTGGGGTGGGGTGGGTGGGGGCTGGGGTGAGATGTAATTAGATTGGGACCTGGGGCTTGTTGGGCGGGGATGGGTGGAGGTGCCAGGGCCTTCCTCTCCTGCCCCACTCAGGCCTTATCACCTCTTACCTGACTGTGGCCACAGCCTCCTCCCTGCCAGCGTCTCCCCGCCCAATCAACACTTCACACCTTTTCAGCTCCTGATTCCCGGAGGACCCCTTACACCAGCACCGTGAGCCGATCGACGGCAGAGTTTCTCCAGCTCCTAAGTCTTCAGTGACTCCCTACTGCCCAAGGAAAACAGAAGACACCTGAGGCCTTGCACAGTGGACCTCACTCTCATCCCTCCCCCAAGAGAATGCTCTGCCTCGAGCCGAAGGCCGTGGGCTCTGCAGACTCCAGGCCTCTTCTTCTCAGGGCGGCCTTCCCTTTCCCTACACTCAAGACACAGCCCAAGTCCCACCTCCTCCATTGCAAGGGACACCACGGTCTGAAGTCCTGCTGGGGAAAGAGCCTAGTTTTTCAGCCAGGTAGGCCTGAGTTAGAGTCTCAGCTCAGTTCCAATCCCATTAGCTGGTTACAAGTCATTAACTTTGTCAACCTTCAGTAAATGGAAATCAGGCCCACGCTGTAGGTGCCTGGGGGTGCTGATGGTTGAGTGGAATCTGTTCTTTTGACCTTCCCATCATCCTTGCCCCTTTCTTTTGGTGATGTCCCCTGGATTTTCTGTTGGGTATGTGGTCCAGGGGTGGCTGACCTCACTCCTGGTTCCAGCATAAGATCATGACTGAGGCCAGGTCAATAAGAATATTCCCTCACCGCGGCCACAGAGTCAGATTCCCAGGGATGAACTTATGACTCAAAACAGGCTGGTGGGAACACACTTGGGGTGTTAGCTGGAGTTATTGAAGCTTTCTTTCCCACTGGAGTCACTAGGTAGATAGAAGGAAAGCTGAAGCCTTTAGCCACTGCTGTGGGTTGAAATGTGTACCCCAAAAAGATATGCTCAAGTTCTAATCCCCTGCACCTTTGGAGGTGGCCTTATTTGGAAAAAGGGTCTTTGCAGATGTCGGCAAGTGAAGATGAAGCCATCTTGGATTAGGGTGGCTTGTGGCTTCTGTCCAATACCTTGTGTCCTTCTAAGAAGACAGAAATTGAGACACAGACACACACAGGGAAAAGGCCGAGTGATGACAGCAGCAGAGACGGGAGGGCGGCAGCTACAAGCCGAGGGATGCCAAGCATGGCTGGCACCGCCCAGGAGCCTGGAGAGAGGCAGGGTACAGCCTCCTCTTTAGAGCCTCAAAACACCCTACCCACACCCTGACTTCAGACTTCCAGCCTCCACAACTGGGAGAGAATCACTTTCTGTTGTGTTAAGCTACACGAGTTCGGGGTGATTTGTTACAGCAGCTGCAGGAAACGAACACAGACACCAAATGGAGAGACTGTGTCTGAGACTAAGGCCAGCACCATGGAATCAGAGCCACCAGGAGGGGCACGTGGACTCTCGGCCCTGTGGCCACACTTGGCTCCCCCAGCGGCTGAAGCACGAAGTCTACCGGACTTACTAGACTTTTCCATTACCTGGACCAATATATTCTCTGTTTTACTTAAGCTGTTTCGATTGGGTTTCTGGCTATTTCAACTGAGAGAGGCCTGACTCTCAGTCATACAGAGACAATGGATGTAAAATGCATTGAAGGCCAGGCACAGTGGCTCGCACCTGTAATCCCAACACTTTGGAAAGCCAGGGCGGGAGGATGGCTTGAGCCCAGGAGTACGAGACCAGCCTGGGCAGCATGGCGAAACGAAACCCTGTGTTTACAAAAAAAATACATTAAACCATTTAAAAAAGAAAATATAAAATGCACTGCATGCTGCCTGGCCAATGGGAGACAGTAGGTGAATGTAGGAAGTAGTAGAGTAAATGGTATTTATTATTACTGCTATTGCTGTTGTTTCTATTTCCAGCTAGGCTGAGACCTCTTGAGTGGCGTAAGGGCCATGTCTCTATCGTGTGTGGGAAGCAGGCTCTGAGGGGATGGGGCCTCCTGTGGATAGGGGGACAGGAAGCAGGACTGGGCAGGGCAACGCCAGGCTGGGATGTGGGCCTGAGGGCAGCCTCAGCCAGCCCCACAGGGGTTCTGGAGTCAGAACTGCCACCGTTGGGCCAAGGGTGTCAGACCTTTCTGCTGTTGCATCCTTCAGTCACTGAAGCTGGCTGCCTGGGAAGACGTGAGATCCTGGGAGACGACTGCCTGCCACTGAGGCCACCCTTGCAGGGGCACGCGGCTAAACGGCCACCCTCCCAGTAGCTGGGGCAACAACTCGTTCTCCAAAGGGTGACCTGGGGCATCATGGCGCCCACCGCACTCAGTGCATAACTCTGGACTGGCACCTGATAAACACTCATTATTGACAGCAGTCATTCGTTCACTCAAAACCCAGGGTCGATGGGGTAGCCAGGCGGCTGCGCAGTCTGAGATGATGGAGCTCTTTGGGAGTGCCGCCCTGGTGGAGGCTAGGGGTGGGATCAGAGCCTGACGGAAACACCACCAGGGGCAGGAGGGGATGCGGTCAGGTCAGGTGTGACCAGGATTGGTTGTGTGGCCTCGTCCAGGACTGGCACTGACAAGATCCAAGGTGGTGTCCGCCGAATGAACCAGGCTGCTGACCAGGGTGCTGTGAGCAATTCCCATTGCTTTCCTCTAGGCCGTTAGGCTCCTGCGCTGTAATATTTCTCTTCCTTTCTTAATGTTGATTTCGTTGTGTATAGGGTAGAGTTCAGAGGCTGGCTAAGCCCTTAAAGACTCCTTTTTCGAGTCTTGGCCAGGCCAACCCATGGCCCAGCCCCTTTCTCGAAGCCAGGCACTCCCTCTTATCAGATAAGAAACCACGACTCAGAGAGAGGAAGCTAGCTGTTCAAAGTCACAGTCGGTGGCTGGGCCAGGAAACGGGACCCACTTCTCCCTCCCGGGCCTTCCTCATGTGCAGTGCAGGCCCCCAGCTCAGGCCACACTCCTCTGCCTAGCAAGGGTCCCAGCCCCTCTGCCCGCATCTGGCTTTGCACACACTTTCTGAGGGCAGGGGCTGCCCGGCTGCTACAACTCACAGGGGTAGGGCAGTGACTTGGCTGAGGGGGAAGTGGGGCTTGTCATTCCTCCCAGAGCTTCTCCAGGAAGTGACAGCCTGAAGGGCCCCGGGAGGCCGCTTGGTTCGATCCCACCCCCCTTCCCCATATCACAGGTAACTGGAAAGTCCAGGTCCCTGAAGTAAGGAGGTCACATAGTGAGTGGTCAGTGGGGGCAAAATCTGAGTTGCTTGTCTGTTTTCCCTAAATTGCTCCTCTCCCTGAGTTTGCATCAAGCCCCTCAGAGCAATATTTTTTTTTCCCAAATGGTCTTCAGAGAGCACAACACAAGAACTGGTGTTCTACACGGCCCACGTGCACTTCTTAAGGGCAGGCTGCCAGTAAGGATCGAAGGCAGGGATGGGGAGGCAGCTCACTCCACGTGTGCCCTCACCGCCTTTCTTTCTTTCTTTATTGAGACAGAGTCTCTCTCTGTCGCCCAGACTGGAGTGCAGTGGTGCGATCTCGGCTCACTGCAATCTCCGCCTCCCGGATTCAAGCGATTCTCCTGCCTCAGCCTCCCGAGTAGCTGGGATTACAGGCAGGAGACACCGCATGCAGCCCCTGCCTTTATTTGTTATCACCACCTCTAAGAAGGTAGCTTCCATGAAGATCGTTTTGCCCTGCAAGCACCCGGCTGGGCTGGATGTGCAGAGTGGAGTCTAGAGGAGTTGGCAGAGGAGATGGGAGGCCCCATGGGCTGCCTGAACAAAGGGAGAGGAGTCTGGAGAATACAGCGGGAAGGACAGGGGTGAGGAGGAGAGAGGGGGGGCAGGGCCAGGGCTGTGAGAGGCAGTGGCTGGGACTTTGGCACTGTGCAGTGGGGAGGCCAAAGTCCCCAGTGAAGTGACTGAAGGACATGTGAAGAACCTGAACGTGCTGTGTACCAGCAGAAGCTGTTTCCCTATCCACTGTGCAGTGAAGGCCCCCACCTGCTCCCCGATCCAGAATGAGAAGACAGGGAGGGACAGACGCTGCGCCTGGGTTATCACAGGGTGGCACAGAGAGAAATGCAGAAGCAGGGTCTAGAGGCTGAGGACCCCTGGAACCTAAGCCCTGCCGCACTGCCATTCTAGGGCGCCAGCAGAAATCCTGGGGAGGACCCTGGGTTCCTCCACCCCTGGTGTAGGGGTTAGCATTCATCATGCTTAGACCTCAGGAAACTGGGAGTCCCTAGCTGACGTCTGGGTTACACCTACATTTTCTGACTTACTCCTTTCCGCATCTCTCTGCCAGAACTATTATCCCTGTTTTCCACTATGGGCACCTGAGGCCAGAGAGGTTAAGTAACTCACTGAGGCCCCTGACGGTGTGGTTGAGCTGGGACTGAGAGTCCCACGTGACCCCTGAAATCCAGCCTCTTCATTCTACGCCATGTACCCTGTGGCCCTGCCTGACTCCTCCCCAACACCTGGCCAGAGCTGGGCTCACCCCACTCACTGAATACTTGTGCACTGCATGTGGGGGAGGCCAGCACACACGCATCGGGGCCCTGAAGATGTGGGTTCAAATCCTGCTCTGACACTCACCGCCTCTGTTACGTTTGATACATTTAACTCTGCAAGTTTCAGTTTTATCACCTGTGAAATGAGACCTGGGACAGGTGTGAACAAATGTTCCTATCTTCATCATTATTACCTGCCCAGCAGCGCACCAGGATGAAGGCCCCCTGGGAGAGCCTCATCGTGCAAGAAGCTCCAACCTGGCCGTCCTTTCTGTCCCTTCCAGCTCTCTGATGAGGCATTTTTAGGACAAACCCCCAAGTTCACCCCAGTTTTTCCCGCCAGCCCCATCCCTTGAGGAGTGAGCAGTCTACTCGGGGGAGGGAGAACCCCAGCAGGGACCCTGGGAAGGGCCAGTGACCACCCAAGGCCCTTAGAAGGGCCTTTGGGACTAAGACCACGGCCAGAAATGGGCCAGACAGAGGCATGTGGTAGTGGCTGGTTGCTCAGTTCCCAGTTTAAATGGGGAACTGCAGAGACCACCCACCTAACCACAGGCGAAGGAACTTAGCCTTTCTGTGCTCCTGAGCCTTGGAGCTCCCGGTGTCTGGATTGTATTCCTGGATCTTAAGACATGATGAATTACCGCCTCTGTGGAATGAAAAGCCCTCTCCCCATCTCCTTTCCTTCCTGCTCCTCTGCCGGGGCTGTGGGATTCCAGAACCTGGCTGGGGCCCCCCATCTCTTCCCTTTTCTGCTCCTGGGATCTGCTCAGCCTCTGAGCAGTGACCAATCCTGTGGCACTGGTGATCCTGGGCTCAGGGTGCCGGCTGGATTCGGGGGCCATAGCACAGATGCCCTTTCCAACTCCAGGAGGCATCGGTACCCATTTTACAGATGAGGCCCAAGTTTGCCCTAGTCCATGCCACTTGTCAGTGTGGCCTCTGAGCTTTGAGCCAGGGCCTGGCTGACATGAGAGAATGCCAGAAGGATCTACAAATGAGAAAGGGAGGGGGAAAGTGGGGGAAAGACCGTCCCGCCTGCCTGTAGCAGAATGTGTCAATCACATTTCTTGGGCAGTGTCTGGAACTGCCTTTTAGCATTACCTGAAAAACATTTAATTACTTTGTACAAATTAATAATAATAGTGCTACTAGATTTGCTCAGTGCCAGGCACTAAGTGTTTTACATCTGTGAACTCCTTGGTCCTGGGGTTGGGACAGAACAGCTGCCCATCCCTCAGCAGCAGTTCCAGCCGTCCTAGCTCCGCGGCCTGGCCACTTGGTTTTCCCCAGTCCCTGGCCTCCAGGAGCAGGGCTCTCAGCTCCCCTGGCTCTCACGTCCTCACCTGAGCTGAGGAGAGGACAGGGTGGCTCTCTCCAGCTCCACACTGGTCTGTATCACGCTATTTTGCCCTTATTAAAAAAAAAAAAAAAAAGAAAAAAAAAAGTAGGCCGGCATGGTGGCTCACGCCTGTAATCCCAGCACTTTGGGAGGCTGAGGCGGGTGGATCACTTGAGGCCAGGAGTTTGAGACCAGCCTGGCCAATATGGCAAAACCCCGTCTCTACTAAAACTACAAAACTTAGATGGGCCTGGTGGTGGTGTGGGGCTCTGATCCCAGCTACCTGGGAAAATGTGGCAGGAGAATTGCTTGAACCCGGAAGGCAGAGGTTGCAGTGAGCAGAGATCGTGCCACTGCACTCCAGCCTGGGCAACAGAACAGGACTCCGTCTCATAAAGAAAAACAAGCTGCCTCTCACTTTGGGGGCTTTTCCCTTCTCCTTTCCAAGTTGTAATCCCACAACTGGACTCCAAGTCATGACCCTACTCACCGTGGCACTGATTCAGCCAGCCTCTGGGCCGCCACCTGGGAAGATTTCAACACCCTGGCAGGCAACCCATCCAGCACCCTTGCCTACAGCTTCTTGACCTCTGCAATCCTGTGGACTTTCAGCTTTCTCTCAGCAAGCCACTCCCTGGCCAAAATCTGAGCCTTGACTCCACCTGGAAGGGCTGCATTCTTAAAATCCCCCTTCAGACTGTACCTTCCTGTGCACCCGCCTCTCTCTTAGGCCTGCAGGGACCTTTCTCACCACTGCTCCTCCTTCTCTCCCTCCATGGCCCCCAGTCTCTCAGTTCTGTTACACATTCACTTGTATTCTATTTCCACCTCACCTCCAATG